TTGACTTCTCACAGCAGGAAAAGGACTAATGCTAAGACATCTAAGTGGAGTCCAGCTGTTACTTCTCTTAATTGTACCTTTTCTCAACATGTCAAAGTGTCTTCTGTGAGAAAAGAAAATCGGCTTTCTCTTTTTGTTGCAGCTGTCCATCCTCTAATGCTAAGAATTTTAAATCTAAGAAATAAAATGCAACATAAAGTATATATATTTATTACTCACTGATGGAGATGTCAACTGAGATAACACTTCAAGTGGTAGCTGAGCACATGATATGGATTCAAGATATTTATCACAGGCATAGTTATACGAGTACAACACCCAGTGACATGTGTCCTGAAACGCTCCTCGACTGTGCAAAAAGACAACATTATATACAGTAAGTGAATATGTACAAGCAGGACATTATGTGCAGTAAGTGAGTGAATTATATATGTTAAGCAAATTTAGATAAAATAAAATAAAATAAAATGAAACAATTTGGAAATTTAAGTTGAAAAACTGAGAATACCATTTAACATCTCAAAGAAGAAGGCCAAGATAAGCGATAAAAATGGAAACAAATTTGACATCACTTTATATAAAATACAAGATCATTCGATATATATGCAAGTTTTACTCTTTAGATATATATATCTGGAAAAGTAGACGCTTTAGTAACCATTTGTAAAATATAGAGGTACTTGTGTTGTTTTATAATTTTTCTGGACAGTGAGCTGTATGGTCTCCATGCTGCATGTCACTGCTGGATCAAAAACTTGTGATGCAAGAGTTAGATAAGACATCTACAAAGACACCCACACCCTCCTCACTCTGTCCCCATTTGAATCCAATGAGAATATGATGAAATATGTCCTATCCCGCCTTTTGATACATGTCGAGCCTCTTCCACTGAAGCTTGACAGAATAGTTGGGACTATTCTTTATGGAGCAGTGCAACTGCAGCTTCCACTGCTGGGCATTTTGGCAGCTGTCTGCAGTGTAGTAAAAGGCAAGGGGGTAGGAAGTTTTTTTGCTATCCATGACAGGAACCCACTCCTTCAGGTTCACCCCACCTCTACACTGCAGGGAGGAGGAGGTTGTCTCTCTGTCTCTAAAGTTGATGTGTAGACTTCACAGCATGTCAGTGCATTCATTTATTTCACATGAATGACCTGGATAACAAGTACAGGTGGCAATTAGGGGTGGGCGATAGAAACGATATAAATTTGGCCAACGA